TCACGTGTAACCCTTTTTTAAAAAATTTTATTGCATTTTTGAACGAATCACGAAATTGCAATTTTTGAAATTTGAGCGCGTGGCGCAGCAATAGGAGGTATTTAGACCGAGCCAACCATAGTATATATAAAAATCAAATGTTTAAATTTTTTTCCTATTAAAAAATAATGAGCTAATTGAAAATTTATTATATGTTGGTCTAACTATTTGTAAATTCTAACAATAGTTTTTTGACATCTTCTGCGCACCCTTCTAAGTAATATCCACTTTTTCCTAGATTTATTTCCTCTTGCAGATATTAGCAATATGCTTTAATCCTTGATTCGAGGCTAATTCTTCCAAATATTATTTTTTCTGGTTTTGTATGGGTTTTTGTAAATTTTCTTTTTCCTTTTCTAATTCTTTGATTAGTTTCTTTGATTCTTCCTTTAATATGGTTATTTGATTTATATCTTCTATTTCTATTATTTCTTCTTTATTCATACAATTCTTATTGGTTTCCTGTCGGTGGAGTTACTATCTTTCCTCTATATACTATCCCGTTTATACTATTGAATCTTTCTGTTGCCACTAACATTCTTCCTAATGTTATATATCCTGTTTTGGGTCAACTGTCCTTAGTTTCTGAGATTCCTGGTTTTCCTTGAATGCTTAGCAATAGTATATTTTGTTTCGCTTTCTCTTCTAATGCTATTATTTTTTGTAGTATTGGTCTGTTAGATTTTCTGTTTTTTTTTCTGGTGGTTTTGTCCTGGCTGGTACACTGTTTCCTCGTTATTGTCATGAATCCCATAGAATTAGCTAAATTACACTCCCTGGACAAAAGTTTCGGTCACCACAAAACAATTAATTACGCAAAAACGTCCATAATAAAACACAAATAAATTTCATCAAATTGTGATTAAAGTTCTCAAGAATTTGTATGCAAAATTTCAAATTTTTGTAATGTTTGAGTTAAAAAAATAAAAAGTTCGACCAAAAATGATTTTTTGGAAATGATCTCCAAAATTTTGATTTTATTTGCAAGTATTTATACCACTTCTCAAAAAAAAAAAAACGCACATAATAACCACACCCGAAATTTTACTTTGTTGGCCCATTGCCATTAATAAAATACTAAATATGGTTAAATTGTTACACTAATGGACTCAATGGACCACCAATAGACCATCAATGGACCACCCACTTACCAATCCTGGTTTGGGTTATTGCTAATTAATACCAATTTGCTTTGTATAATTTCAAGAAATTGAAACAATATTTTCTGCATTTATGTCATTGTGTTCTGAAACATATTTGAGACAATTAAGGACTGACCATTCACTATTTGGTCTTCTCCTCAAAGCAAAATGAAATCTTGTATAAAAAACAGAACAATTAGTCTCCATACATATTTGAGTCAAAATTTAAAAAAGCTAATGAAGTAGAAATTGCATCATTCCAAATGTTATTTATATCTATTTATCATCTTTGTTGCTCTTTTTTAATATTAGTAATGGAAAATAAAGGATTAAGTAGGCTACTGTTGCTTTAAAGGATTAAATGAATGGTTGCTAATTCTTGACAAAAAGTTATTAGAATAATAATGATAAAAACACAAAAGGAGAAAATTATATATACGCGAAATTAAAAAAATTAAGGATTAAACAAAGGATAAAGGATCACGAATTTTTTTAATTTAAAAAAAATGAAGCAAACCACAACGAATCAATTTTTTAGTAGTTAACAATAATTTTTATTAGTATCACGTGAAACCAATAAAATTCTTCCCCTCTATAAATGCATCCCTCATTCCCCAAGGGGGGTGCACTTATGGAGGGTTCAATGTAATACAAATTAAAATTTATTTTCGTGTCACATAACTAATCAGTACACTTATAGATAGAATATAGAGGTAGAAATGTCTAAATCATATTTATTGTTCAAGTCACTATCATCCAGAAATATTACCATCATTAATAAGTGTAAAATTGAATTATATTATATATATAGACAGTATGAAATTTTTATCAACCAATTAATTGATATTTATTCATGACTCATTTAAAAAACAGATTACAATGATTCGTTGAAATATTTTTATAGTAGCAGTACCAGCCATCAACCATTATCCACAATTCAAAAATCAATGCTTGCCATAAAATCTGCATTAACAGCTTTCTCAGATCCTACAAGACAAGGTGCAATTAATATTTAATTATCATTATTGTGGAATTGATTATTTATTTTCTTGCTAAAATTTTTTAAAAAATATTGAAAAATATAGATATGATTGCAATATTAGGTGAGACAACCAGTTCAATATTCTTAAGTCAACTCCGAGATAAGATGTTGCATGATACAACAGGACGTCGTATATTACGTAGCAGACCTACAGTAAACACAAATGTTATTGATTTAAATTATTTGAGAAGTTTGCCTGATGGAAGTTTTGGTAGAGAATATTTAAATTTTCTAGAAAAAGAAAATGTCACTCCAGATTCTAGAGCCAAGGTGGATAGTTAATTTAAATTGATTTGTTTATTGATTGATTCATTCATTCTGATTTTCCATTACATTACTTGATTTTTTTTTTCTCTGTAGGTAAAATATATCGAAGATGATGAGTTAGCATATGTTATGCAAAGATATAGAGAATCTCATGATTTTTATCATACTCTAACAAATTTACCTACAAGTGTTGAGGGTGAATTGGCATTAAAATGGTTTGAACTTGCACAAACTAATTTGCCAATGACTTTACTAAGTTCATTGGTTGGTCCAATGAGATTGAATTCAACTGAGAGAAACAACCTATACAATAAATATGTACCTTGGGCAATACAATGTGGCAGTCAATCTAAATTACTTTTAAATGTGTATTTTGAGGAATGTTGGTTAAAAAATATTGATGAATTAAGGAATGAATTAGGAATTTATATTATTAAATAATATTAATATGTTAAGAATTTTCAATATATATAAATTCTATTATATGGGGCATGCTGTATCAAAACCAGACAAAGTGAACATTGGTATTACCAAGAATTTCAGGGATCAAATGGAATTATTGTTAATTGGCTATTTTTATTATAATGCAGATATTCATTGAATTAATGTTATTAATTTTGGTTGGTTACAAAGATATTAATAAATAGAATTATATAAAAATCCTAAATTAATTAAAAACATGATCTTTTAATCATTATCAATAATTGTTAATGTTGGGTAACTACATTGCTGTGGTATTACCAACATCATGTAAAACAACATTATCACAAATATTTATATGTTGCAGTCCTGGTAAACATGACACATGCATAATCTTAACCATTTTACTGATAATCTCCAATGCTTTGTCATGATTTGACAATTTAGTCATCATAATTTCCCCTCCCTTCCCCAACCAAAAAAGATGCCATGCTTCATTCAGGTCTGTTAATACTTCAATAGTTTTAATATCATTGTTGGCCTTGGTTTTAGGTGTTGGTTAAAGTATTGCATGATCAGTTCCCTCTAGTTTGAGTCACTTTCAGCTAAAGACTAGTGCCGTAATCCAAAAAAGGAAAAAGTTGGTTGCAAAAGTGGTCGCAAAAGTAATTGCAACCACTTTTTATATGCCGTAAATACAATTACTACCATCATCATAA